AAAATATGCACAAAACACAACAAAATTTTAGAGTTCTTCTGCAGGACAGAGCAGACTCGTGTTTGTACCCTGTGTACGGAACACAGCGCTCACGATACTGTCCCTTTGGAGGAAGAATATGTAGATAAAAGAGCTCAGATGGGGAAGGAAAAATTAGAAGAGCCAGAAATTAAACAAGAACAAGCACAGAATTATCAGAGGATAAAACTGAAAACACAGAGGAAGAAGAAAAGCAAAGGTAAAGCAAAAGAAAAAGTGCCTAATCAGATAGTAGGTCCTCCTCCTTTTTCTTTTCTCACTGAGGAGCCACAGCATATGGGTGGCTATTCCTACATCTCTGAAAATAAGGGCTTGTCTGAAGGGAGATTTTACTACGAGGTTCATGTTGGAGGGCAGACCGGCTGGGTTTTAGGAGTTGTCCCGGAGTCGATGCAAAGACAAAAGAAATTCAGACCAAACCCCAGGAATGGAAATTGGATTGTAAGGTCAGGAAGTAACTACTGCAGATGTGAACAATGCCTGCAAATGCCTGTTTTAAGAAGAAGGCCTGAAAGAGTCATGGTGTTTGTAGATTATGAGCAGGGATGCTTGTTCTTCTATGATCCAGACAATGCAATGATAGTGTACTCTGTTACTGGCTGCAACTTCAGCGAGAGGATTTTCCTGTTCTTTCGTCCTTTTGAGGAACTCAGCTGTGTACAGAGGCTGCAACGGAAGTTCCGAGAAATTTTTCAAGATCCAGAATCAATATACTGGATGTTTGTTTTGATATTCGTGTTTCTGATTTCATATTGGACGTCATTGAATGAACCAGAGGACTAATCTGATCCTACCACTGATGTGATTTCCTTTCAGTGCTGGATGCTTGGCAACAATGATGTGGACCTTTGCTTTTTTAATTTACTACTTTTTAAACTTCCTACTAAAAGTGTTTTTCAAGAGTATTTCTTAAAGCATTATATATTTTTTTTTCATCGTTACTCTTCACAGAGAGACAGAGATGCATATCTTTTCCTGTATGAGCTGGAAGACTAACAAGCTGTGGTCAGTGTGCTTCCAGCTGCGTAGTGATGAAGGAATCTGCCACTTAACCATGTGCAACAATATGATGGAACTTTATATAGAAAATGTCAGAAAATCACAATAAATGCTTTTACAGCTGTAATATTATCATTTTTGAGTACATTGCACGACATGAAAAATTATTCACATTAGGTTTTCAAGAGCATGGTAACACCACTTGGGGGAGCAATATGCTCACGCTTTCTAATACCCCCTCATACGTTCACAAATCACTGAAGTCAGATGAAATACTGTATACAGCACAACTAAACAGTACTTAATGTAGCTAAACCACCACATTGGGTTTTATCTTCAATTTTTAAGAAAAATTAAAGCTCCTTGGAGACTTAAGGTAAAAGCAATTTGTTCGCTGCTCAGAAATTAATGTTCAAGATTTTATATTTAGCAGCTCTGCCATATAATTAACTGGAGAGAAATTTCTAAGATAGCCATAATGAAAGATAACTTTTCATTTTGCATTATCAGCTCAAAATTTCTATTTGCAAGGCAGCCTCATGGTCAGTCCTGCTGACATTCCCAATAGCCCCAGTTATAGTGTTAATGTCAGTATCATGCCAGCATGCTGAACTAAGAACATTATACAAGCTGAAATAATAATAACTGATACAGTGTTGATACATAAAAGGTTTCTTTATGTCAGTGATACTGTATTGACCTAAGATTTTAAATTGTATTCTGCATGTTTTTCAAGTTGTTACTGTATTGTTGTTTACATGTTACTGGTTTTCTGGTCTATTTCGCATAAGATGGAATCCATTCACTTTTTCTATGCAAATCCCTCAAAAAATTCGTATTCGTATCAATAAAAATTTTTTTTTAGAGTAAATACAACTGACTACAACATAACAAGCTTAAAATCCTATAGCCACATGTTAAAACCACACATCTCCACACACCTCTGGACAGCAAAAATAATGCAATCAGAAGCACCGACCACACTGTCAGCCCCCGCTGATTTGAGCTATGAACTAAAGTTTCCACTGAGGAGGTATTTTAGGAAACTGTGGGAGTCCCACAGGGAATATTAGGCTTTTTCATTATGACCGCCCAGGTTGGGTTCATGGAGAGAGGTCAAAGAGCCACCTCCCACTGTCAGCAGAGTTCACAGGGTTTGGTAATTCCCAGGTCCCAACACAGACATCTTAACGTTTCAAAAGGGAATCCTTTGGAAGAGGTATTTCCCAAAACGCGTGCCTGAAAAATAAAATATGTCAATTTATTTCTGGGAAAAAGCCTATTTTTGTCATTTGAATTTGTGGGTTCTCAAACTATATTACCAAATTCTAAATTCTTCTTCTTAATGTAGAGCAGCCATTGTCAGTCAAGTAATAGTTTGCAAATCCAGAGTCTGACATAGTCACGTAACAATTTCCCGTAGACATCAAGTACAGCAGATGTGGATCTACCACGCATTCAGCAGCATCAGAGAGCAGCCAGTGAACACAGCCCACAGATCACTGGCTGCTCTCTGCCCAGCCTGGAGGTCACTGCAAACTCTCGGTACCTCAGCAGAGCTGGCAATATCATCAAGGACCACTCTCACCCCAGCAATCAACTGTTTGAACTATTACCGTCAGGCCGACGGTACAGGTCACATAAAACCAGGACAAACAGATTCAGGGATAGCTTCTTTCCCAGAGCTATCATCGTAGTAAATAAGCACAAAAACAATTGAACCTGCTTAGCTATACCATACCGTCACTGCCATTATATTATGCTGCTATTCATACTGTCATTATATTAATGCTGCTATCCTGTATATATCGTTTGAGTACTTGCGATTATTTTATTGTACTTTTTATATTTTACATTTATATTTATTATTTATCTTGCACCAAGGGAGTGGCACTCCAATTTCGTTGTACTCTGTACAATGACAATAAAGGCTATTCTATTCTATCAGTGGCACGCTGTGTCCTGCAAGCTTTATTCGCAAGCTGCAAGTTTTATATTAAAAACTTGCATGTGTTTCACATTTTGCTCAAACCAATTGAAAATGATATTTTATCCTACCTTCATCCCAAAAGTAAGAATGATTCTAAATGCAGATTTTATCATTGCATGGCAATAAAAAGAACAAAGCTTTCATACAAAAAAATACACCTTTATTTCAAATGCTGGGATTTGCAATTTTTGTTCAGAAACGTACAAAAAGAAGCTGAAAAGGATCAAGCAGAAAAAATATTTACAATTTGTGTTTAATATTACCAGTTAACTGTGTATTCAATACACACTCGGTCAAACAGGCTACACAGCAAGTATTTACAAAACTTTTGTCATGATCAAAATAGCTGTTACGTGCACTACTTTAAATAAAAATACAGAAACAAGTCCACTAGAAATAAAAAGCGTACATTTAAAACAGAGGCAAGATTTCAAGACAATGTTAGAAATGGCACTTAGACACCACAGTGAACTCTCTTTCACCGGTTGAGCTTTTGTTTGCAACCATGTCCAAAGTAAACAGTTCAGCTATTTCAAAAACGTGTCTCACGGTGGGAGAAAAGGTTACTGATCGCCTCTGGTTGTAACCTTTGCTCTCACTCTCCTCTTTTCTGTCTGTTTATCAATATGAATTTTAATCCAAGTGTCAAGCTGTACAGTAACATTTATTCTGATACAGGGTATTCTTGCGTTTATTAGCAATAAACACTATGTTGGAGAAAGGCTTCGTACAGTCATGACACAACCCTGTGCTTGTATATCATCATACTACTCTACCTCTTTAATAGAGGGTGTTTAAAAGACTCTTTACAGCCTACACTCATCTGTCCAAATCTATTATGGAAGGATTGCAGTATGCTGTATCTGATCTCCAAAAGTGAAGAGGCATCAGATGGAATCCATTCCAGTCATAAGGTTTAAGTGCTTTCATCGTACTTAATAAAAGTAAAGATTTTTTATCTTCCACAGGATGTGAAACAATTCCTCACCAGGGGAATCAAAAAATGAATACATGAATACATGTACCACAATGGACAGATGTCAGATGTGTACATGTCCCAAATTATGGCTCTATTGAATATAGTGTGTATAGTTCTTCATTTATACTAAAGATATAGATGGTTTTAAAACAGAGTCATTAGCCACACTCTGGTGATAATTGTGATCTCACTAATAAACTTTTGGGTAGTCCCTGATCTATATTCGCATGCCAGTGTAACCCAGCTCTGAGGG